CCAGAGGAAGCTGCGTCTGGACTGCCCATGTGACCGCCCCGTTACTTGCTCTCTCAAGATGGTAATACCTTTGATCCCATTTCAGTTTCATGCCAATAAAACTTATGAGGCAGCATTACTCCTATTATACAGGTGAGGAAACTGAGACCCTTTTGTGAGAGATGTAAAGGTAAGGGGCAGGGGCAGAACCCAGGATCTCAAGGAGAGCCTGACCTGACCCCTCCAGGGGCCCAGTTCACCTGCCATTGCATGTGTGCGTGTGTGCGCGTGGAGGCATGCATGCATCGGCAGGGCGCTGGGTGTGTAGTGGGGTGTGGTGGTGTTCTCTGTTAAAAACGTGATTCAACCAGCGTTCGCCATATCGTGAATTAGAGGCAGCAGTTTGTCTTGGGCCTTTTATTCTGCACAAATGTGTTGGTATGGAAACCACGCTGCTGAGGTCACGATCAAAACATCATTTGCTTCCATTGGTTTTCTTTAAAATTACATGCCGGGTGTCGGTGGGAATTTCTACATCGACCACATCAATTCTTTCTTGGCAACAAGCCTCTATCGGTAAATGGTAGTAAAGTAATTGCAGCAAATTCTTTCAAAATAATGCACAATCGTGTTCCTTTAGCAAATAATAAATTCCTCATTTTTGAGTGTCTGTCTCCACGCAGATCGTGAATGCCTTGAAGGCAATGCTCTTCCGTTCTGGGTGCCCAGGACAGCAGATAAATGGGGTCCGACTGGATAAACATGACAACTGGCAGCTCTGCCAGTGTGGGTTAGAAACAATAACCTCTCACACCTGCCTCGCTCCACACCATCCCATAGCCGTCTTGTTATTTAATTTTCCTCATGTTCCCATCTACCCTGCGAGTTATGCAGGGCATAGATCACTAGTCCCATTACAGAGTTAAAAATAGAAACTTGGCAGAGTCCAGTGACAGCCGGGCTTGCTAACAAGTGATGGAGGCCAGATTAGAATGCAGACCTTGGGGCTCCTGGACCAGCGCCCTTCTCTCCTCCCCGCCCAGCCTCCTCACACAGTGCAATGAACACCGGCGGGACGGAGGCCAGGTGGGCCAGGAGACCCCCGGCTGCTCCTGTCCCGTTCTGTTCGATGAGCGTCTTCTGCGGGGGCTTAGTTGTATGGTCCGCTCAGGCTGCCCTGCAGACCCACCAGTGCGGTGGCTTAAAGAACAGAAATCTATTTCTCCCAGGTCCGCAGCCCGGAAGTCCAAGATTAAGGCGCCAACAGGGCTGGTTTCTGGGAGGGCACCCCCAGCTCGCAGGCGGCCCCTTCTCCGTGCGCCTGAAGGAGCGGGAGCTCCCGTGTCCCCTCCTCTTCCCGCAATGACACCAGTCCTGCTGGATCTGGGCCTGGCCCTTAGGGCCTCGCTGGCCTTAATCACCTCCCTAAAGGCCCATCTCCAAACACAGTCGGTTGGGGTGAGGGCTCGACACCTGCATTTGGGGAGTGGGTGCCCAATTCAGTCCCGAACAGGTTTAATCCAGATCTCCCCAAAATGCGGACAGGTTGCCATCCCAGCTCCCCTCCCACAGACTTCTCTTGACCCTTCACATCCATTTTTCCCAATTAGCCTGGACTCACCTTAGTTTTTATTGAATTCCGCTCTGTGGGAGAGTTCTGGAGTACATCTATTTGTACACTAGAGGTTTTCTCTGTTTGTCTCAATTAATTTCCTAGAGGCCACGTGAGTGTGAATCATAATGAGTCCCTCTGGGTATTTTTCCACTGAGCTGGAGCCCAGGGCCGCCCCAGGATCTGTGCTGACAGGAAGCGGAGCTCCTGAACCGGGGTGCGGGAGGGGCTCAGAGGGGAGAGGCACTCGGGACAGGGGGTCTCTGCCGCCGCCCTCGTACCTGTGCCTCCCTTGATGGGCTGAATCCCAGCCCCCACGGAGACCAGACAACAGCCCTCCCAGCTCTAGGCAGCCCCCCTCACGGGAGCCAGCCCGCCCTGTGCCCCGGCCCAGTCCCGGCCCCACCGTCCTGGCCCTTCCAGACCCTTCCTGCAGCAAGAAGCTCGCAGGGCTGAAGTGTGTGCCACCCAGAGCCCATGCGTCCCCTTCAGACCCCGGGATTCACGTGGCCCTGAGGCTGCACAGGCCACTTTTCCTGGGGCAGGACCCACAGGCGGGCACAGCCCTGAGGTGGGATGATGAGCACAAAGCCTTCCGCAGCCCTGCGTGGGGGGGAGCAGGGATCGGCGTGATCCCCCACCCCTGCTCTCCCCACCTCACCACGCTCCAGGACAGAGTCAAGGACTCCAGGAGTCTGAATTGGAAGCTGGCCCTCCGTATCCTTAAGAAGGTGTCATGGCAAAGGAGAGCGTGTTCTTAGTTCAACAATTTGCTAATTTGATGTTACAGTTAGGCCCTTGCACATACAGTATGTGGCCTTCCACCCGCACTGCTGCCCCAAGAATGTTAAAGTGTGCCTGGGGAAGCAGTCTTGAGAGGAAGACTTAAGATTCAGAAAGCTCTGTGGGGACATGTGCACACGCACACACGTCTATGTACCCTACATTCATGTATATGACCATCGTGATTAATTCTTTCTAATAATTTATGATCATGCCTGCCAGGGTAAAGTTGAAGTGGTGAGTATGTGGAGGGGAGGGGACTAGCATGGTCACTAGGACATGTTTGGTGGGGAAGTGCTCTGTGTGCAAACGTCCCTGACACTGTCCATGACGAGGGCATCTCGAGCTGTGGGGACCCTCCAGGAACGCAGAGACTGGCCAGATTCAGGTCTGCCTGTCCGCGCTTAGACACACACACACACACACACACACACCCATATGCACACAGACGCACACACATGCACACAAAAACATACCCAGACCCACAAAGATGAAGCCAAATGCACAGACACACTCATGCGGACATACAGACACACTCAGGGACACACACAGGTGAATCGTGTCACCTCCGAGGGGGCCACCCTCAGTCCCCCACCCTTTCTTCCTCGCTCCACCAGTTTTGACCCATAAGGACTGACTGACTGTACAAAAAGCGGCCCATATTTTGGTGGCCCCAGGAATGTCACCAAAACATGGGTTTTATAGCCTTGGATATGCACGCAGAGGTAACACTGAACCCTGTGCAAGGTCACTTCCCCTGGAAGGTTCTAAGTCACAGCCCCAGGCCAGGCCCTCCTGCCCAGCCAGGCTGGGCCATGATAAAAGTTATGCCCATTGTCAGGGTGGTTAGTAGAGGATGAGACCAGCCTGGGCCCCTTCCTTTGGGGTCCCCACTGACAGTGCCCCCCTCAGCGGCCCACCACATGCCTGTGGGCTTGGAGATTCTCCAATCAGCTGCCTCCTAGTGGTTCCAGGGGCAGAAGGCGGGGGAAGAGAGGGGACACTGCCTGGCGGGGGAGATCTGCCTACACGTCCGTTCCCCTCCTCCTCACCTTGAGCTCCACCAGCATCTTTGCAGAAAGCGCATCAGGGTTTTCCCGGAGTCCCCACACTGTTGTCCCTGCCCCAGTCCCTGCTCCAGCCCTTCCTCCCGGGGGCCGCAGTGCGGTGCAGATACACGGCTGCTGCTGACCGGCCCTGGGAACAGTGGATCTTCCAGACTCTTTCATTCATGTCCTCGCCTCTGCAGACCCGTGTAGAGGAAAAGCAAACCCCGCCAAACCCTTTGGGCTCTAGCGGCCTGGCGGCCTGCTTACTCCTCTCTGACCCCCTCTGGAAGCCGGAAGCCAGAGAGGCCCACCCACCTCCCCCCGGGGGCCACAGTCCCCTTCTGCTCATCCCAAGTGGATCAGTGAGTGCCCGTCCCCCACTGAGCCCCACACCAGGCCCTGGGGCCCAGGAATCGGTGGGACCTGGGGAACCTGGGAAGTCACCATCTGAGGCTTCCAGACCAGCGCCCAGCACTGGCTTCCCCCAAATGGCAGGGGAGCTTCTGGGCCTGCGAGGGCTGGGCTGCTGGCTCAGATGGTCAGGCAAGGTGGGGTCCTGCCGACCATGGGAAGGAGGGGCGCCAGGGTGCTCCAGGTCCTCGGGGCCAAGCGGCAGCACTCGCGCTGACACCTCGGCAGGGCAGGGAGACCTTGAGGACCCCCAGCACCTGCTCCTCTAGCCCCGAGCCACGAGGGGAGCTCAACCAGACTGAAGGGCTGGAGAGGCCAGGGGCTCTGGGGTTGCAGAAAGCCTTTCATGCATGAGAGGCCGTGGGCTTAGCATGACCCACTGCCGCCATCTGCCCAGGACTGCGGAGCTTCTGGGGATGTGGGGCTCTGGGGCTCTGGGTGTTAACACAGCGACCATCCTGGGCAAACGGGAGGCGGCGTTCTCTTGACTGAGGGGCTGCAGGAAAGGGTCCTTCCCCTGCGAGCCTGGCTCGGGGTTGGGACAGAAGGCGGCTTACACCCAAACAGTGGGGACGGTCGCGCCAGCTGCTGAAAGCTCTCCTCACCCTGCCTCGTGCGTGGGGAGGAGAGAGCAGAGAGGGTCCTGGGGAAAGCCTGGGGCTGCCGAGGGGAAACAGGCAAAGGGAAGTGTCTCGGCCTCCACGGTGGACAGGAGATTCCCTGGGCTTCAGGGAGCCGGGCACAGCCTGCAGAATCCAGAAGGACGAGGGTGCTAGGCCACAGAGTCGGCCTCTCCTTGGACTCTTTTCCAGGGCACAGATGCTGGCAAGGTGGCTTCAGAGTCTGCCTGCTGCCCCATCCCCCCAGGGACCCAGAGAGCAGGCCTTGTGGGGGAGCCGTGTGACGCGGTCCTGGCGTGGGCCTGAGACACCCCAGCAAGTGCATCCTTTCAGCTCCGCCCTAGGGAGCGGGGTTCTGTCCACAGGTGTCCCGACCGGAAGTGTGGGCAGAGATGGCTCAAGAGGTCACCAGGGCTAAGCTGGGCTGACAGGGCGGACCCGTGGAGACCACCTCACCCAGACCCCTTACTTGACAGGTGGGAGACTGAACTCCAGGGAGGCGTCCCTAGCTCAGGGCAGCATGTTCTCAGGGGGTCAGAGCCCCAGATGGGGCTCCCCACCGTCAGAGGCCGCAGCCTGAGGTCCTCGGAAGGGAGGAAGCTAGAAGGTACAGTGGCCCCAGGACGCCCCGTGCGGCCCTGGCCGAGGCTCACTTGTGGGAGTTTGGTGCCTTCTGCGACCAGGACTCCTCTCCCCACTCCGGGAGAGTCTCAGGGAGGTCCGCTCCAGGGTGCTGGACACGGCAGCGGTGCCTGCCTGCTCGCCCCTCCCTCCAGGCCTTGGAATGTGTAAGAAAGAGCAGCCACACCCTCCAGGCAGGAAGGCACCCCCACCTACGCCAACAACATATTCCAACTCTTCATCGGCTGAGAAGGAGTGGGAATCATATCCTTTCTCCTAATCGGCTGATTAGGAGGGTTCCTGCTGAGGACCCTTTAGCAGCTGTGAACACGCCTGGGCTCCAACCAGTTCAGCAGGAAGTGGGGTCGTGAGGCGGCCAGGACCACAGGATCCATTCTGGGGTGTCTGGGTGAGGAGGCGGGGAGGTACCCAGGCCCAGGAAGCTGGGGAAGGCGGGAGAGCGGGAGCGGGTGCCGGTGAGCCCTTCCGAGCAACCGGGGTGGTCCCAGGCGCAAGGCCAGGGGAGGGCAGAGGGCAGAAGAGGACGAAACAGGGGGTCGGGCGGGAACAGCCCCCTGCACCTGCAGGTTTAGCACCTACAGCATTTCTGGTTTGTCCTGTCGCGGGTGAGCCCCACGCTTCCAGAAACAAGATGCAGGAAAGAGCCTGAGAAGCAGGCTGAGGAACAGCAGGGTTGTGCCTTCTAGGAAAAGCAGGGCTCCTCAGAAGGGCTAACAGGAGGGCGCCTGCACCCCCCCACCCTCCAGCCCTACGCACGGGGAGGGAAGGGCTCCAGCCTGGGCACGGCAGCCAGGGGCGGCCTTCAGGGGAGTCTCAGGGGGCCAGCCAGCTCTGCCCAGGCGGTGGAAGGTGGGTCCCCGGGAAGTTTCCTGCACACAGAGACGCCCTGCTTAGCGATGGGCCGTTGGACCTCCCTCTGCAGTGACTGCCTGGTGGCTTGGCTTCGTGCCTGGCTGGCCGCTAGCAGGCTGTTGCAGGGAAGTCTCATGGCTCTGACAGGGCAGTCGGTCATCTCCTCTGACTCTCAGTTTCCTACAGAGCTTTGCACAGCTGGGCATCCAGCGGATCCTCCTCAGAATCCTCTGGGCCTGCATCCCCCCATCCTTCCCCATCCCCACCCCTGCACGCCAGCAGCCACCCGGGAGAACAGAGCCGGCCCAGGACAGTCCCTTCTCACTTTTCCACAAAGGGGTGGACTACCAGGTGCGAGCAAAGGCAGGTGCGGAGGGTCTGCCAGCCTCGGTCCTTTGCCCAGGCTCGGGGAGGGGGGCCGAGCCTGGGTGGCGCCCAGGACCCCGCGCCTCCTCACAGACACCATGGGCGCTGTGTGCCTGGGGCTGAGGAGCAGGGTTCTCCCAGGGACTCAGAGTGCTGGGTGTCTGGCTGGGGCCACACTGACCCCAGCCACAGTGAGTCAGCTCCCAGGGCCCTGGGGGCAAAGGGCATGGGGGTGGGGGATCCTTGCCCAAGGCAAGCCACCTCTACTTGCCAGCCCCCTTTCCCTCTGCCATCACCCCTGGCCAGGCCCAGGGGCCTCAGTCTCCCCTGTCTGGGTCTTTGGGAGAATAACCCCTGAGTTTCCCCTAAACCCAGGCCCTTTGCTCCCCCTGCCCTCATCCCAGCAGGGCTGTGGTCTCAGCATCTGGGGCGTATGTGACTTCTGTTCCGCCTGCTCCCACCACCAAGTCTGATAGATGCTGGCCTCCTTGCCCAGGGTCCCCAGCTCCCACCAGGGGCTCCCCCCTCAGCCACACTCTGTGTCCCCCCGTCTGCCCGCCTGCCTCCCACAGCCCACAGCTCGGATATGTTCCAGGACATGGTGGTGCCCCTGCTCAGTACCCAGCTCTGCAACAGCTCCTGTGTGTACCATGGGGCACTCACACCCCACATGCTGTGTGCCGGCTACCTGGATGGGAGGGCTGATGCATGCCAGGTGCAGCAGTGGGGGGGCCCCCTGGTGTGCCCAGACTGGGGCACATGGTGGCTGGTGGGGGTGGTCATCTGGGGCCACAGATGCGCAGAGCCCCATCACTCTGGCATCTATGCCAAGGTTGCTGAATCCCTGGACTGGGACCATGACAATGTGGGGTGAGTGTGGGGGTGGGGCGGGCAGGTGGGTGAAGGACCCTTGGGAAGTGGGATGCTGACACGGTAGGCCTGGGCCTCTGGGGGCCAGGGAACGTTCTCCAGAGTGGGAGGAGGGAGTGGGGTTCACTGGGTCTCTGTCGGGTTAAGCACTGACCAGGGAAGAGTCAATCTGAATTTGTAGCTCAGATCCGCCACGTACCATGTGACCTTTGGCTAATTCCTAACCTGCCCTCACTCAGTGCCCCGATGTAACCGTCGTGGCTATTTCCTATGCTCTCGTGACTATTTAATGAGGTGTGTCCCATACCAGCAAGGGCTGCAGCAGGCTGGGCTTAGCGCGAGCGGTCCTTGTGTTACTCACGTACTTATTTATGACTGTCAGGCTCCCCTGGGTTCTCAGGCGGTTACTAGGGCCCAAAACCCCTCCACTAGGGAGCTTAGCATTTAGCAGTTTGGGTTCAGCAGCTGACGAATTCCTGTGTGACACTGGTCAAGCCACTCAACCTCACCCCTTCAGTGGGAGGGCCAAGTGGATCTATTAGAAGACATGTTATTTCTATAAAGCACTTCATAACGGCATGGATGCTGATGAGAAGCATCTCCCTGCAAGGCGAGTTGTAGCGGTGGGTGGCAGATAGTAAACTCTGGAGTTTACAGAGGATGTATGCATCTATCTTCTCATTCAAACCTTACGAATAAGCTAGAGAAGCAGATATTTTTGGCCTTGTTTGTTAGAAGTGGAAATCAAGGTTCTGAACGGTTAAGTAATTTATGCAAATGAAAGTTACTTGGCTGGCGGGTGGTGGGGCCGCCTGTGGGTCAAGCTCCTCCCTCTTTGGGCCTAGGGCCCCTCCCCTGCCGGCTGCTTTCTCCGCCTCACTGCATAGCAGCTTCGTGTCTCCTGGACTCTCTGCCAGGTCCACGAGATGGAGGGGAAGCAGAGCCCCTGGAGCAGAGGGTGTGGATCTTCCGTCCCCACGTGTGGAAGAGCTGTCAGCCCCGGGCCTGCTTCTAGGCCTCGGGGCCACTCCCCTTGGGCCCTGACTCGGAACCCCTCTTTCTCACCAGGGAACTTCAGTGGCAGGAGAGAGGCTGGGGCCGGGCCGGGCAGGTCGGGGAGGCATGGACGGCAGGCGCTGCTGGCAGCAGCTGGGAACCTGCTTCGGGCCCTCTCCTCCCAGCCCGTGTGCATCTGATGGGAGGATGCTCTGCTCAGGGGGGACGTGCCTCCCTAGAGCTGGGGGCTTCTGGGCAGATGATGTCAGGGCCGGGTCCAGACTAAGCCCGTGGAGTCAGGGCTCTCACCACTGCGCAGTCGGCCTCACCTGTGCCCTGTCTTCCCCTGGCTCCGGCTGGCCTGCTGGGGCCGGGGCCCTGTCACAACGCTCTGGCGGACTCTCGGTTTTAAAACAACAGTTCTGTGAATCAGTCCAAGGTGTTCTGTTATTAAAGTGGAAAAAGTCTTTGTCCACTTCTCTCTTCTCTCTCCCTCTCTCTCTGTCACACATACACACTAAGGGATGGAATTACCATTTTCCTCCCATCGTTATTCCCGCGTTTACCCAGCATCCTTCTCTGGTGCATCTTTTTCCCTCTGCTTGGACCCCCTCCCATGAGCCAGTCACTAGCTGCTGCCAGACTACCCCCGGGAGAGACCTCTGCACCTTTTCCGTGCTGCTCCCTGTTCCTGAAGTGCCCTTCCCCTTTTGACTAATTGTCTTAGTCCATCAGTCAGGAAAGGGATATTTATTAAGAAGCACTACATGCCAGGCCCTGGCAAACATGGAGGACACAACACAGCAAAACCAGATGCAATCCCCACCCCAAAGGGCTCACCGTTCAGTAGGGGAGACACTCATGGATCCAAGGACCACGTGAAGTGTGCACTCATCCCTCCGAAAGAGCCACGCGAGGGCTGTGCAAGGCGCTCCTGAAAGCCCAGGACAGAGACGGCTCAGGGAAGGGCCAGTCCAGACGGTGTTCAGGAGGGCAGAGGACGCCGCGGGCTGAGGCAGCAGGCAGAGTCCCTGGGGCCCCCAAGGGATGGAAAGCCACTGGGGTAGATGACGTGAGCAGAGCCTGGAGCTGAGGTACACCGGTCCTTGTCCCCAGAGCAGCGGCACCCATCTAGGGAGCTGCCCGGGGCACCCTTGGCTCACTGTCACCCTTTGAGACCCAAGACAGATGTACCTCTGCTGCCCCCACCCCCACCAGCCTGCCCGCCGCGCTGGCACCACTCACACACGGCCATGGCGGGGGCTTGCCTGTGGGACCCGGGCAGGACCCTGTCCTCTGCCCCTTTGTCCTTCGGGCCCTACAGAGCCGGCAGGCGGTGAACGCCCAGGGAAGCCTGTCGGGTCTGTCACTGCACGACCACCTGTCTGTTTCATTTCCTCCCCTCCACCCTCCCGAGCAGTCGTGCAAGTTCCACGCCACCACCTTAGCTCAGACTCCTGTCGTCCCCCGCCTTCTGAACATCCTCCTGCCTCCCTTCTCTCCCCCACGCGATCCATCCTCCCGGTGGCTACCAGGCTTCCTTCCTAATGAATTCCTCTCACGTAAACCTCTGCTGACCCCCCATTGCCTGCAGGATCCAATCCAAATTCTTCAGGCCATTCAGGGCGCCTCACGATCGGGTCTCAGACTGGCCGCTTTGGCCTCGTGCTTCACTGCAGCCTTTCTTCCCCGTGCCCTACGTTCCCACCACAGTCACCATCCTAGGTCGCCCCTCAGGCAGACCACCACTCCCGGCCCCCGGCGTCTGCTGAGGCTCATCTCAGCCTCCAACTTCCTTCCCTCGTGTTGTCCGGATCAGAAAACCACCAGTGTTTGATGAAATGGTTCAACTGCCAACCCTTCATGGAACCTGATACCCCAAATCCAGAATTAGTGGCTCCTCTTTGTATGTGGTTTTTCCCAGCACCTGCCCAGTAACCGACATACCATGGTCCTCAGACATAACCCCTCAGCCCCACTCGTCCCTGTGATCTCCCTTTGCGGCCACCGGGGCGCCCCCGGGAGTGGGGGGCTGGGAGCAGCAGCCGGCTCCTCCACGGCAGGAGCCTGCAGGCCCAGGAGCAACGGGAGCAGGCCTTCCTTGCTCAAATATTCAGACAAAAAATGACCCCAAGTGTAGTCAGGAAATGATTTCTAAGCCAACAGAGAACTGTCTGTTATTTCTGGACAATTTCTCAAGCTCAGAGATAAGATACAAAGCATATAATTCGCATACTATAATAAAGGTGTCCCCCACAAATGCCTGATTTTGTTAAGCAAATACTTTTTTTTTTTTTTTGTACTTTATTTGCTTTGGGAGCCATTCAACTTTCTTTCTAAATTTAAACTTTCAAAACAGCCAAATGCAGATTGTGAGGAGAACTGCGCACGTGGTAGCTCAGGGCCACTCCTGGACACAAAGGGCATTTTCCATCTGCTTTAATTAAGACACAAAGGAGTGGCAAGAATATCGATCATAAGGTTGACTAAAAATAACTTCCTAAACATCGCATCAGGACAGCAGTGGCTGTCTGACACTTTAGATCCACGTCCAGCGACTGCCGTGGCTGTAAAACCTTTGTGATCCAGAGAAAACAAGCCCCGCTCGCTGTGTACGACCTTCTTTGGGCCCTTGGTCACCCACTGGCCTTTTCCTTCTTCTCCAAGACTGGCTTTCATGCCTCAGCCAACGTGCATCGGGCCTGAGTGCGCGAAGCTGCTCTCTCTGAATTCACGGCCGGGCTCAGACACGCACGTGCGGAACACAGACGACAAAGCGGTCCTGGTGACATGTCCTCAGATGGACACAGTGCAAGATCAGAGCTTGCTTTGTGTTGGCATCAGCTCCTCTGAGCCCCTCTCTGCCGTCACGAGCGCCTGGAAGGCAGGCGAGGCAGGGACTTTCGTCTCCGTTGGATAAATGACCACATGGGGAGGGGAGCTGCTAAATGGCTCACCCAGGTTCACCCTTGTGGCCCAAGGGATGAGGCAAAAAAGAAAGCCCAGTGTCCTGGTTTCAAGTCCGGCTCTCTCCACCTCCACAGGGCTGCCTTCCACAGACCTGGGAAGCCAGGGAGAGAGACGGACACGTCAGCGTCCCTTGGAGGGAGAGGGAGGCCTGGGACTGGACTTAGGCTGGGGAACAGGAGCGGTCTGGGAGCCATTGACAAACCCCCTATCAGGCCATGAATGCTTTTAAATGAAGGGGGTTTTCAGGACCCTCTTAAGTTGTGAGAGAGAACCGACCATACATGGCAAGATGAGCAAAGGGCAGAATGAGATTCCAGGGCCTTGACTTTTACTCTGGTTCACGTTTAATTTTAAAAGGCACATGCAGGGTGGAAAATCCCAAAGCCACATCGGCTTCACTCGCGTTCCCTGCTGCAACAGGAGCAAGACCGTCAGACCTGGGGCTGCAGGAGGGATGCCTGGAGCCCCCAGGAGCTCATCCTGCCCGCCTGAGCCAGTTCCACCGCTGCCGGTGGCCTGGCTGATTCGGTTGGAGCCCGCGAACTCGTGACTGACCCAAAACTCACTCCTGCGGGCAGATCTGCTTGGGAGGGAGCCGGGTTCATGGCTGATAGTCATCAGATTAAATAAAATGGACAAAGACAATAACGGGCAACTAGAAAAAGTCCCCTTGCTGCAAACAGAGCATCTGAAGCACACGTGCCAGGGCATGAGTCCAGCAGATCTGCCTGCCACTGTGGGTGGACTTGGGGGCCCCTCACAGTGTCAGACAGATCTGTACCTCCAGGACCTCAGAATGTGACGTGCTTTGGAAACAGGGTCTGTACAAAGTTGGAAGAAGTTCAACTCAAAAGAAAGTCACTGGGATAGACAGTAATCCAGTATGACTGGAGTCCTTGACAAAGGGAGAAATCTGGCCAGGGATGTACTCAGAGCGAGGGTGCTGTGAAGAGGGACAGAGAGAAGACGGCCGCCTGTAAGCCAGCAGGGAACTCCCGGGGCAGGTCCTGGCCCTCAGAGTCCCAGCACCTTGACTGGGGGTTTCCAGACTCCAGAGCTGAGGGGCCACACATTTCTGTTGTTGCGTAGGCCACCAGTCACCGGCACTTTCTTACAGCAGGCCTGGCCAGCTAACACCTCCGGGCATGTGGGGGGCAGAAAGGCCCCTGGGTGCAAAGCCCTTCTCATGAGAGCATGGAGCCCCAGCTCTGGGCTCACACCAGCCTGGGTGCCACCTTGACTTTGTGCCACCTACTGTGTGCCCTCTGACAAGGCACTTAACCTCTCTGTGCCTTCATTCCTCATCTGTGAAATAGGACAACAGTATCTTCCTCAAAGGAGTGGTTTTAGGATGAAATGTGAAAACATACAGTCTTTGGCTTATACAGATCCGAGGCGCAAGTGGCCCCCTCAGCAACTAGGCTCGGTCGCCAATGAGACCACCTACCAAATGCTGATGATAAAAAACACCAGCCACTTTTGTGAATTAACCACCAAGAGCACATTAATCTAACATCACCACACCTTCTGCAGGGCTCTGTGAACATTAGGATGGACGCTTCCCTTCTCAGTCTTCCTGCCCCGTTGAACTTCTCGCGCACTCGCTCTTTCTGTCTCTCTGACGAGATGCTTCGGCTCCGTGCTCACAGTACCCCTCCTTCATTTCTCCTGCCACACTGAGAGCAGAAGGGGACGGTCCTTCTGCAGCCCCTGGGGCCTTAGCGTCCTGCTCACATGGAGACGGCCTTACAGACTTGGAGGAAAGACTGCACCCTTATTTACCCTTTTGATTGCCTGGTTAGAAAAAAAAAAAAGTCCTGTTACTTAAATCCTCCCACCTCTACCCAAAAATAATCATCATCATAATAAAAGCAAGTAGAAAGCCACTTCCAGTAGCAATCATGATAAAGTCGTAGAGGAAAGCCCTGCTTGCCCAGAGGTGCTGGGGAACTGGCCGTCTGGCCGTCTGTCCTTAAAAGCTACCCTGCCAGAGCTGAAGACCGGCTTTCAGAGAATTCCAGTGTCAAACACGCCGAACTCCAGTGGTTTGATCCACACTGGTCCAGAAGCCTGGCAGGATGTGCTGGCGTCCTGGGGACACGGTGTCAGGGCTTCAGTGGGTGCTCAGGAGCCCTGAAAACCAGCACTAGAAGGAAGCTGTGCCTCCAGGTACCACACGGACTGAACAAAAAGGCTGTTCTGCATTGATGTAAATGTGAGTTCCACACCCAGCCGAGGGAGGGGGCTCTCCTGAGACTCAAAATCAAACCCTCCTCCTGTTAAAGGCCTCAGGGGATGCTTACAAGGCCGCTCCAGCTCGCACCCCAGGCCCCCTTTTTTCTTTATTTGGGCCACATTGCCACACGCTGTGTGGGGCTGACCGCAGATAACTTTGTGATTATTTATTAGCTTATTCTGCCCAGCTCCACAGCAAGGAAAGCAGTAGGTGCCATTCCTGCCTTCAAAGGGGTTGCAACTCAGTCAGACATCTGCCCACATAATTAAACACTGACTGTGTGCATTGAACCTGAAGTGCTGAACACTGGCTGTGTCTGATCGCCGCCCTGCGTCAGGCAGTGCCGTGTGTCTATGTACATTATCTCATTAGTATCAGCAGCCGCACAAGGTCAGCCGTGTCATTCTCCACATTTCATAGATGAAGATTCTGAGCCAGAGAGAATAAAGGACTCGTCCAAGGTCACAGGACTGAGCAATGTAGACTTGGGTATGAAGCCAGGGTCGGCGTGGCCCCACCAGGCATGCTGGCCCCTCACCCTGACAGCCCTGCCCCTTCCACCCTTACCGAGTCTGGGAGGACCAGCCGTCCTCTGCAGAGACTCTCCAAAGGGTCACAGCCATGTCCCTTCTGCTCCTCCATCCCTGCCCCTTTCATCCCCACATAGTCACCCACAGTTCCTAATAATCTTTGCCAAGATGAGATGATGCCAAACACCAGAGAACCAAGACGGAGCATTCTCCCAATCTGCGGCAGACGCCAAGGGAAAGCACATGTCAGTGCTGAGTAAGAAAGAGTCAGTGTCTCTGCCTCATGGGAGAATATCACTTTCTTAATGTGACTGTGACCTTGTCTCTATAAAACAGAGTTGTCATATAGGTCTGCCTCTCCTCTAACTGAGATACTCTTTTCTTCTTATTGCTTTGCTGGTGAAAATTAACAAAAGACAAAAACTAGAAAGTTAAGATTCTATTGAGTTAAATTCTCAGGAACCCCAAGTTGAATTCTCTTATGTTGATTAAGTGCACATTAAACAATGGGGTTCCTTGGGTAAAGAGAAATAGAAAAAGAACTAGAAACGATACTGCCATGTAACTCCAGGGCTGGGGGTGGGATTATGTTCCCAGTCCAGGGCAAATTACCTTTGAAGCCAAAATCAGTCAAACGGAGAAATAAAGTGGGAGAAACCCGTTTGTTACCTACAAGCAGTGGTCCACTTCTCTTCACCTGTGTCTCTTATGACCCAGCTGCAAAAGGGACCCCACCCAACCTCTCTGGTCCCAATATATCCTTGCTCCCCACACCCTTGTAATCACCTGTTGATACGGAGATGAACTAATGCCAGGCCAAAGATTATGGAAATATCGCAATTTTACCCACATGCCACATGCACGTACTACAGTGCCACTCAGGCAGGTGGGAGAGGTGGTTGATTTTTTTTTAAATAAACAAGAAGTTGACACAGGGTTGCAGGAGATTTCAGTTTTCCATATCAGCTACAGGTTCCACTCTGCTAAAAAAGCATAATGTCCAATGTTCATTTTAACTGCCTTACTAATAATTGCTTTTCAGAAAGTCAGAGATGCAAAGAGCGGAACTTTTATCTGAGACATCAGTTAGAGGACAATTGCAAATTTCGTAATAGACAAGGAAAAAATGGTCTGGTCTAGGCACGGGCCCTGGCTTCAGGGAAACATATTTCAAAAAGCACAGATAAACACCAGAAATGATCTCATGGCCAGAGAGAGACCTTAGAGGAAAGACATCATGCTACGAATTAAGAGTAGAAGAGGGGGAGGTTCAAAACTGAAAGTCCGATCACATGGCTAAGTAGGATGCTACAATGAAGGACAGGAGTGTGGCACAAATGGAAAGCAGCAATGAGTGCTGCAACACGACAAAACGGCAAGAAGGAAAACGAACAGGCCCTTCGTAAGCAGACACGTAAGAATGGCCTGTCCTTGAAAAACAGTGTCAGGCAGATCAAGCCCAGAGTGTGCTGATGTCTGTGAAAACCATGACTTCAAGGGAGTTCGGGGCTAGGGCGGGACCACGGCCAGTGAAGGGAGAGAAACGAGAGAAACTTAGAGGTGATGATGCGACGCTTAAAAAAAAGACAGGAAGCTGACGATTCAGACGTGATTTTGCCTCCATGCTTTCCTCCAAGAATTACCCGAGACCTGGAAAGGACGGGACGCAGCTGAGAGGAAGATGAAGCCTAGGGTAGGTGAGAAGATAGAAAGATAAAACCTGAGTTTCAAATAAGTTCCCAGTTCTAGTACATTCCATGGGACTTAAGAATAAAAAATAAACTGTGGCTGTTTATTTTAAATTGAGTTTTGATGCTACATTCTTCCTAATCATAGAGCTGATTTTGACCATTTGTTTTGGGATAACTTCTTCCTAAATATAGACGTTTTGCTAAAGCCTAAAATTTCCTGAAAGCTACAAAGCTGCAATTTAAGTTTTCCAATCATCACATGGTTTAAACAAATACCTCACTTTGTCGTAAGGAGTTTGGTCAAGAATTTTGTGAAAACCATGTTAAATAGTCCTCGAGATGAGCAATTGCCCCAATTTTCAAAAAGCGGGCAAAGATCTACTCCTACTTCAGAACAATGTAATTGAAGTTAATTTTAGAGGAGATCCTAGAACAGATTACTAAACTGATGGTTGGTGAACGAGAAGTCCTGATTTTTGACTTGTAGGTAATAATAATGTAGATACACGTGTGGCAAACTGTTTAGACGATGCATTTAGGAGAACTTGGTCATGAAATTTATTATAAAATTAATCTGACATATGTAATGTTATGCATAATTTTTATCATACTGCATGTTAATCAAGCATAAATGGAACCCTTCATGCAAATGGAAACAATCAGTCTTCTCTAAAAGCGGCATTTCTAAGGCCAGAGAAGGGAGGCAGAACCAGGCAGCAGCTGCTCGGCTGCCCGCGCAGGCCCCCCCCCGCCAGGCAGGCCTCTGGGGAAGGGCGCTGCTCTGCCTGAAAGCGAGCCGGTCCCGGGCTCCAGCTGCAGCTGGGTCACCATGAAAAAAACCCAGGGGGATCTGGTTCTAAGAGGGCGGGAAAATCCTAATATTTGAAACCATCAGCAAGAAAAAAGTCTTCTCCGGGTTCTTTTGAATATCCAGACGCCGTGGGACTGGGTTACCTGGAGCCAGAGGGAAGGGGGGCCCAAGGGGCAGTGGTGGCGTGTCGGCTGCCAGCTTCGTCGAGGTGCGTGTCACTGGGTGCCCAGTGTTCGGGGAGTGGCAGCGGGGTGGATCCAGGGTGGGCCTGAGCGTTGGAACCGCGGCAGGGGGAGGAGGGGAGACGGACAGCCGAAGGACTGACGCTCCTGCAGGCAGAGGCTGAAAAATGATGCAGAAAGACCAGGGGTCAAAAGAAACACAACCGAGACTTTTCACGGGAATGAGCCCGGGTTGAACGATGCGCTGTGAGCAGCGGCCTCAACAACCCAGCGGGCTTTCCAGGGGCAGGGCGGGGGCGGGTACCGGGGTCGGGGCCGGGGCGGGCGCAGACCGACCGGGTGATGCCGCGGAGGCCGGCCCGGGGCCTGGGGGACCGCCAGGCGGTTTGCTCCTCTGACCTTTCCCACCCCCCTCTCCCCACGCCCGCTGTCCCTGCATCTACCAGGCACGCTCCTCCCACCTCCGGGCTTGGCCAGGGCTGGACGCTGCTAGGCGTTCTCCACCCAGGTGTCTGCGTGGCCCGCTCACCTGCGGGAGGTGTGCATCCTCTTCAGAAGGCCGCTCACCCCTCTCTCTGGAGCTCACCTTTATCACCCGACATTCGTCTTTCCCACGGCGCTTAAATCTTCATACTATCTAATTTGTTTATGTTTCATTCATTAGGTCACTACAACTTAAATCACCAGAGGAACAGGGGCTTTTGCTTGGGGATGGGGGCTGCTCAGCGGGCTACAGCAGTGCCTAGCACCCAATGAACGTAAGTGGGATGGGCGCAGGGGCCAAGGGAGAAGGAGCGGGGAGGCGTCTGCGGCCCTGGGAGGGCGCCTTCAGCAGCGGGGGCAGCTGAGACCCATCTGCTCCCACCCCCACCTCTGGCACTAAACCAGAAATGAAGGGCACGTGCTCTCTGAGGAGTTACACGCAGCTCAGCGGCGTACCGCCCTCCCCCCACCCCCAAGCTTCTGGGCGAAGATTTCATTACTTGGCTTTAAGACTTCTGAGGCTTTCTCCAGTTATGACATCACAAAATTCTTGACCAAACTCCTTACGACAAAGTGAGGTATTTGTTTAAACCATGTGATGATTGGAAAACTTAAACTGCAGCTTTGTAGCTTTCAGGAAATTTTAGGCTTTAGCAAAACGTCTATATTTAGGAAGAAGTTATCCCAAAACAAATGGTCAAAATCAGCTCTATGATTAGGAAGAATGTAGCATCAAAACTCAATTTAAAAAGACTTCATGCCAATACTTTTCGTATTTCCCTTTGCATTTATAGCTGCGTCCCTTGCTAAGTCACTCCTGTACACACCTTCGTTCATCCATGGCACAAACTACTGCAGGGCTTGGACAAACTGCTTCTTCGGGCCAGTTTCCTTATGACAAATTCCCTGGGGTGCGTGTGTGGGTGTGCACCACCCAGAATTTGCAGGGGATAGACAAACGCTAGCGAAATCAGGTGAAGAGAATAAAACCCCACAAAAGGCTGGGAATCATTGCCTTAAGTGATGGCAGAAGTGTTTGCAAGTGTGGGAAGATGATGTATGTCCTTTAACAATGCTATTAATCAAGGAAAATACCACTTGATCCATTCACAGGTGATTCTTCAGCTACACGTGCAGCTTAGAGTACAGATGCTCTCAGAGTCCGGGGGATCCAGTTCCTGGGCTGGCCAAGCCAGAATAGAAACCCCGGGTATGACGGACAGGCTCCTTGGCTTCTCCCCACAGCCCAGGCCCTGAGACCCCCCAGGCCTGGGCAGAGTGCCACCTGGAGGATCTCCACTGCAGAGAGGAGTCCTCGTGCAGAGCTGACCCTGGAACATGCCACCAGTTCAGGATCCACAGAGTGACAGGGGCTGCTACCAAGTCATGTTATGGATTAAAGTTTTTTTAAGTCTTGCCTTAACAAAATTTCCTTTTTACCAAAAACTTAGGCAAACTTCCTCAAAGCCCCCTGTATAGCTCTGGTTATTTGAGAGGAGTGTCTGGCCAGTGGGTTTCAGCCCCAGGAGGTTCACTGTCAAATCAGTGGACCAAAGAAATGACAGTAGGATGTTCTTGGGGTGAAAGGGTTACACCCAACTTTGTTCCCACGGTGGCAGGTGAGTCACTAAAATCCTGTTCACTCAGAGCAAGTCTGCACGCAGCAAGCCGGTCTCTGCCTCTGGGCCTCTCGGCCCGCACAGCCATCCTCTGGGCCTTCTGTCCAGGGCGCTGCCACCACTCCAGCCTCTGCTCTGCTCTCCTGCAGCCTTGCAGCCCTGCCACCGTGTCACACCCAGAGCACTGGGCAGAGCTCTTTTATAGAGTCAACAGCCAAGTATTGCCCACAGGTGTGCAGTGAGCTAGTCAGCCAGGGCCAGATGAGAATCCTGGCCACAGGAGCTCTCATTTTATCCACAGGCTTCCAGTTGGCCCCCAGATGCACTAGATGGGTTGAGCCTCTCACAGTTCCCTTCCTCTCATCAACACGCTTTCTCAAGGAGGAAGGTTCTAGTCCCACTCCGACTCAGGTTCCCCATCAGAATAGTACCCCCAGGGTCTCCGGGAGAGCTGCCAGCCAGACCCCCTTCCACATGCTCCGTCACTGGCTCATCCTTAACCCAAACGTCCACGTGTCAGCCACCAAGTGCCTTGGCCCGGAGGATGCACTGTGCCCGTCTGTCTGCCATGGTGCCCCGCCTGGGCAAGCTCACTTTGGATTCGGAGACCAGAAATGACAATGGGATGCTTTGCGGGGAAGGTCTGGCACCAAACTTTATTCTGGCCATGGCAGGTTGAGCGCGGGAATTCCGTCCGCCTCCGGGGCAGTCTGGGCGCAGGGCAATCACGGCCTCATACCCGAGCACCAGGCACAGCTCTCTGTACTTGGTCACAGCCCGCGGCCCGCACGTGGGCGAGCCTGCGCCTGCAAGCACTGCACGTGTGCGGTGGGCAACCGACCAAGCCGGCGAGGGTCCTGGCCACGGAACTTCCGTTTTCCCTACACGTGGTGTTCCAACTATCAGAGAAACGGCTCTGGGAGCAGAGTCCACGCAGCCTCCGAGCTGTAAAGCTACCGTGGGGAGGGAAGGAGTGAGGGATGTGCTTTCCAGTTACAAGCAATCCCAGCCCCAAATTGCTGCACCTGTCACCAGGAATAGCTTCTATGAAAAGAAACCGGTGCACCGTGTAATAGTCCTGGGGTGTAATTATTTCAGTTCTGTCCTCAGTTCCCCAATCTCTCAATGCTGAGGAAAGAATGCTACCTGAAATTGTGTCTATTTTCAAAAAGACACTTTTTCATTTTTCATGTGAAAACAGCCTCTTCTTCTCTTAGGAAAGACTTCTTTGTTCTCAAAAACCTTACACTGGTGCAAGTCACCTCTCTGCGTTCTCATGTCTGAGTATAGACAAACAGCTTGTCATTAAGCACAGCTGAGTTCTGCTGTAAAAAAAAGTCTTTTCCTGTTCATTCTTCTAGGACCCCCTAAGGAGGTAACAGGAAAACGAAGCAGCCGGAATGACATGGGCTGGGCCAGAACCAAGGAGAGGGTGAAGGCGGGAGGAAGAAGTCTGTCCCTGGGCGCGGGGGCAAGCGCTGTCCAGGGAGACCACACCGTCAACCCTCTCCTCACAAGAGGCCGTGTCCGGCATGCGATGTGATCCAGGGTCCTGCAGAGGCCCACGATGGCCTTAGCAGGACCCACACGCCCGGCAGCTGCAGGAGGCAGAACCCAGGAAGCTGAGCCCAGGCCAGGGTCACCTGCATCCACAAAAGGGTGTCAGGCTGTGAGCCCAGATCAGTGCACGTACACACGCTCAAGGACAGTGACAGTTTAAAACCTTTGGTAACGTACAGAAACAGTGGAGCTTAAAAAGGGGGAAAAAAATCCAACTAAGAAAACAGAAGTTAGTTCAAATAGCAGAAGTGACAAAAATTTACACTGAAAGTTCTAAGAATCCTGGGAATTCTGACAGTGTTATGAAGGAGGGTAAGGCAGTGACTTCTCTGTGAGGACCATAAATGGCAATAAAAAGAATGGCATAGAAACAGGGAAGTTTCTGGGTCTTTTTTGTCAAAGCTCCCATGTTACTAAAGACACTCACCCTTAACTCTGAAAAAAACTATTTATTGGAAAGAAATATTCAAGGAAGTCTCCTTAATTCATGCAAGGCTAAATATGGTTCTTCTATCCCCCAAAATAGATCCATTTGCTCACAAGCTCCAAACCCTGTCTGCCGGATCCCCCAGACTCCTTGACCCGAGGCCAGGGCCTTGTTCATGACGGGTAGGGCTCCCAGAGGGCCCGGGGAAGCAGTGAAACCACGCTGCCCCACAGCTTCTAGGCAAGGTAGGGTGACTAGAAGGTCAACAAACTGGGGTGCTTCACTTGACAGCTCATCTTTAGATCCAGGCCAACAAAACCTCCTTGCAGGCGGAGGTAAGGCGTTCTCAGGAGAGAGCAAACTTTTATGACACAATGGCTCGCCAAAGCCAAAAGGGGACTCCAGGGTCTTTAAAGGCGTGACCACGCCAAGAAAGGAACCCACATGAGCACGACACGTTGTCTTAGGAATGCAGAGCTATTTAATCTTAGCGAGCACAGCTGCCCTTCTTTCTGTGTTCTGGAACAAGGCACGAATTAAAGCTTTCACTTCGTTGGAAGAGAACGCAGCTGCCAAGGGTCCTTTTCCATCAGCCCACCTACAAAATAAAAGACAAAATTCTATTTCCTATTATGTCCTTGAAGGATAAACAAGACTTAAAAATTGCTTATTCGATCCCAAACACTTGTTTTAAATGGAAATAAAACAAAGCCTGGCGTCCTTCCCCTCTTTCCAGATCTGCCACTCAACCTCCTGACCTCTTCTGCTTGCTGGCTGCACTCTGGTGTCAGCAGACAGGTGAAAAGACCACGTTTGGAGGGTAAGACTGTTTTCCCTTACTCTATACTCACTAAGCCCTGTTTGAACTTAACAATTATGACCACATCTTCGTATGGCCATATAGTCTGGGGATCTGCAAGTACTTTGAAGTGAACCACAGGTGACAGATGTTAACTAACAAAGGACTGGCATAAAAATACATAGAGCACTCCTTTGAATCAATAATGAAATCACAAATAACCCAGTGGAATAAAGGGCAAAATACATGAACAGGCATTTATAACAGAAGAAAAAGAATGATCAGTAAGATGCTATCATTAGACTTTAGGGAAATGTAAATTAAAATGACAAGCTACCATTTCACACCTACTAGATCAGCAAAAACTTTGAAGTCTGATAATACCAAACACTGGTGAAAATGTGAAGCAACAAGATAAACTATGAAATATTTGTGTAACGGAATATGACACAGCAGTGAAAACAAACCACAGCTACACATACTGTCATGAATGAATCTCAAAAACATGATATTCAACAAGGGCAAGTCATAGAAGATCCCACTTACAGAAAGTCCAAACACGAGCAAGTTTATACTTAAAACACTGTTCAGGGATATGTGCACACACGGTGACACTAAAGGTGAGGAATAAATGACACGAGGCTCAAGACAGGGGTCACCTCTGCTGGGTAGCATTTGGAAAGGGGTGCACGGAGGCCTTCACAGGCACCGCAAGTATTTTTCTGCAGTTAGGTACTAGGTACAGTAACATCTTTTTTTCCTTAAACTGTGACTCTATGTTACATATACTATGCTCCCTCCTATGTATATTTTACAAGTTTAAGTTGTTTAAACTACACGACTAGAGGTAGCTTCTTTGGTAGAAAACTTTCTCATTATCCTTGTATTTACTGCAATCACTGGGAGAAAAATCATCTTACCAGGCAGAAAAAAAAGGTCTGATACCCCAGTACTGCAAAGTTCCTCCAAACAAGGAATGAATGATGGTTCCTAGGCTGGAAGAGGGCTCCTTACCAGCCAAGAAAAATTCCCAGCTGCTGCCTTTGGAGTATTACCTAAAGACATCCTGAGACTCACCAAAGACTTGGAGATAACAAATCAAACTTAGAAGCACTCTCAAGTGCTTTTTTTCAGGTAGAACTCTCATTCACACTGCTTTAGAACAGACAGTATTTGCTGAGGACAACGCAGACACGCCTAGGACGGGCAAGCTGCAGCAGACACATGAGGAGCTGTTTGAGGCCTATTCAGAGCTCCCTAGGCAGGGTGCGCATACTCCCGATAGTCACCCAGCTATCCTGTTTGCGCAGCGCCAACGACGGGCACACGCTAGTACAATATGACACAGCACACGGTCACTGCTGGTGTTGAGAGCAAACGTCACCCACTACACCGAAGAAAGATGAACCCTGTCTGCGCGTAAGGCGCTTCTCTCTAAAACTTCTGTACTCCCTGCCGAGAAGCTGCTGGTCAACAGAAGAATGGTTTGATGCTGAAGAGTCCATACAAATAAAAGCCACTTCTCTGTTAACAGAGCAAAACCAATCTGAAAATGCACCCACTGTTGGTTAAAATGGGCAACAATTTCTATCCAGGTGTCAGAAAGCTGTGCTATGCAGACCATCTGTACAACCTGCCGAAATGACGTGTTCAGGACCAAAAAAATGTAAATCAGAAGTCTTTATGCCATAAAGCATGAGGAATTTGCTACCACACCGTCATCAGGCAGGCCCCACTCCCAGCCCCCGGCTGCGCTGCCCAGGCGCCACCCCCACACCCACCGGTCCCCGATCTCTCGCAGGCCGGCTCTCAGCAGCAGCAGCAGTTCCTGGAACGGCATCCACTTCGGCACATAGACTGCAACCTCCTCTTGGTACTTCCTGTTTCTGCTCTCTTCAGCTAGAGGTACAAACATGAGCGGCCCTTCATCCATCACTGTTTTGCATAAGGAGTACAGTCGATCGCCATCTTTAGTAGAGATGTCCTGGTTTTGCACAAAGGGAACACAACAGTAGAGTTGGGCCAGCTCAGTGGTGGGAAAAGGGCAGATCTCTGGTGCATGCTGTCCAGGAAGCCAGTGACAGCAGACGTTCCCCAGCACACTCACAAGCCACCAGCTTCATCAGCTCTGACAATACTCTGAAAGCTAGGACA